CCCTAGCAGACTGTGAGAGCATAGCACTGTGTTTTGGCTGGATTAGATTCATTCTAACTAACAGTCAGGAATTCGACCAGAAAAATTTGGATGCAAGGTTCTTGTTTAAGAATTTGGTTGAGGCTTTTAGAAGAACTAAAATTCATTTGCAAAACTGAAATTAGAGTTCAGGCTTTTAGGCTAAACCTTCCTCAGAGTTCAAGTGCAGCTGAGCCCGTCCTGTTAACCAGCATGAATAAATACTTGCATTTGCTTTCCATGTGATGCAAATTGAAAAGGCAGTCACACATTCCATGCTTTAAGAGAAGTCCTGCAGATCCCTAAAAGCATTTTTAACACTAAGTTAGGATAATACTTGGGACTTATATAGCACTTCACATCTTCAAAGCGCTGTATGAGCATTAATCCTCACAGCATCCTTGTGAGGCAGCTAAGTGCTAATATCCCCATTTTAGAAATGGGGTGAGGGCCTGGTCCCTTGCTGTTGTAACTTGGCATAGCACTGGCCCTCATACACTTGTGCTTTTTAACACCTGATGAGGACCTAGCCCCAGAAAATTTAAGTACCTTACCCAAGTCCACAAAAGGAGCAATCATGGATACAAGGCAGGAGAAGTAACCAGTAGGACTTCTGTCATGGGAAGTTGGCAACTTTGCATCCTCTTCCAAGAACACAGTTATGATGCTTCTGCTTGAAAAGAGCCCCTGTCTGTACCCAGAAACCAAGCAAAGAGGCACCCATCACTGAGCTTTACAGCTGCTGTTTGCTTTGATCTGCTTCTTCCAGAACAGGTCCCAAAATTACCACGATAGCAAGCTGAGAATATTCAGGGGTCGGTTAGGGTCAAACTACAGGACCAGAAAGCTTTGAAGGGTCACTAACAATTCCACATGGTTTGTCCTGGAAGTTTTACATACATGTGTAAAAATACATCAGTTACCTCCACTGATCACAACAGTAAACCTTCAGCAATCTCCTCAAAAAACACATTTGACTAATTCTTAAACCGGTCAGTCTTAGAGTTGCCTCAGTGTGGAGGAGTAAGAACCCAGGTATTAAGCACTAATACAATTTTCTCGGTAGCATAGGAGTAAAGCTGTTAAAATCCTCTGGCTTTGTTCTTCTCACCACCATTCCTACACCAGCTTCACCCCGCTGGCATCAGTGTGACGGCACAGTCCAGAAGCATTACTAGTACTTAAAAACCAGTTGCAATTAGCATTGCTTCTTTGACCTCATTGGACATTCTGTGTGAGGAGGATCTAGCTACAAGAAAGCTACAAGACTGAAATAAATGTGCTACATCTTTTATACCTCCAACTAATGAGCCAAAGGATCTCCAAGAGGCTGATAACTATAGAAAGGAAAGAGAGCAAAAGTAATTGGACCATGTGTGTAAACTCCAGTGACTGTAGACAGGAATTGCAGGGGACTGTTTGAAAAGAAAGCCTCTGTACTTAGCAAGCAAAGGAGCTGATACTGCTGGGGCCCAGTACACAACACCACTGTGGTGCTTCATTCCTTCTGTAATGTCCTGGGGCCAAAGACTGGGTGCTTCTCAAAGACTGTGCCTCTGGAAAGGAGAAGAATGGGTCAAACCTCACTGTTTTACAGTGCAGAGACAATAGGAAGGTGCACAGAGGCAGAGCTGCAGACAGTCTCATCATTGCTTGTTTGGTCCCTTTTGAAGTGAGGATTGCCCTCGCTGGGGTTGAGGGAACAGTTTTAATCCCAAGAAATGGTATTTAACAGACTGTCATCAACTGCTTAGTGTTTCTCAGGGTTTAGGGACTAAAATTATGTCAAATCAGTGTCCACAGCAGCTGGTCTCTTCTCAGTAGGAAAAAGCCTCCAGGAAAATGGTCTCATTCTAGTAATATGGATTAAAAGGAGGAATGCAGAGGAAAGAGATTTTGAATATTGGGAGCCTGCACTGTCATATCTCCCAGGCAGCCAGGGCTCTCCCTGACTTTTTGTGCTGAGGACTCTGCCTCCTGTTCCTGGGAAGGCTGATGCCATTGCAGCACTGGGACAGAGCCAGCATGGCTGGCCAGGATGTGTCCCAGCTGGCTGGCTCCAGGTTGAGGGGACAGGGAGTGAGCAAGGGCTGCACATGTTCCTGCTGTTCTAGCTGGAGTCCTCTGCCACCAAGAACTGCACCTTTGATGGCCAGTGGAGGGGAGAGGGCAGGCCTCCTAATAACACTTAAAAGATCCTTTTCTGCAAGTATCTCCAGTGGCTGATGGTGGAGCAGGATAACAAAGCAAGCTGAGATGAAAACGCATGCAGAAAAGCAGCTCGGCCATCTTCAGGAAATTGAGGGCTACTCATTTCTAGAGGGAAAGA